TTTAGAGAGCACACGGATCGATCCATTCCTCGCTTTTTCTTGTTAAGAGCCATATTTTACCAGGAGGGAAACGATTAAAAGAGGGAATACCAGCTGTTCCGAGTGGAAAGGTGAATTTATTTCTGGGTATACACACATTGGAACCAATGCATATACCAGCGGAATGTCACACAATTCAAAAATAGAATAAAGTCCTAGAAAACTATACACTTACAACCACAATGATGCTGAGACATCTGCACAACTTGGGCCCCAGGCCAGATAGAACCGACTACCGTTTATTTGTCACGTCAGATTGTTCGCCTAGCGCACATTGTGAGTCACAGAGACTCATGCCAGCGAAGAAACGAATGAACTCGTCCGAAGAACACTCACAAAGTGTCATATGTTTTGAAAGTGCCGTTATGGGCTAGACGTAGATTAACATTGGTGTTGGCGAAGTTATGGATTTCATAGAATAAAATGAAAAAATGGATAAAAAACACAAGTATAGCAAAAAAAAACCTATTAGGGGAGAAGAAACAACGGGAAACAAAATCAGCCACATGTGAAGACTCATTTCATGCCAAAAGAAAAAGTGAAACAAAATGCTTATAACGTGCTTCTAACCAGTTGGTCTTACCAAGTTTTGGAGGGTTTCGCATTCTGTAGGCTGGACTGGGTTTGTGTGCGTTGGGCCTACAACCCAGTGCTCGTAGATGTTTCGCCAAAGCTTAAAATTAGGCGCTTAAGCCTCCATATGAGCACCACCAGTACTACAGTAACCATGGATTAACATTGAAGAAGGCTTGAGTAAAGGTAAATAACGTCTTTAATGTTTGGTGATATGAACGGTGTATGTATAACGCACAACAGTGGTTCATGCTGATTATGCGAAGAAATAGCTCAACAAGAATCCAACTACATGAAATGAGGAGAAAAGGAAGAGGTGAAGAGTATAAAGAAAGGATCTAAGCGAATGAATGGATAACTGACGACGTTACTGACTTTCCGTCTGTAGTGGAGGCCTTCAAAACTGAATGTCTAGCGCGGTGTCGGCTTTGCAAAATCCGGATGGCATGGGCAGAAAGATTCCGTCATCTATGACAGGTCAAAAGAAAGTACCATTAAGAAAAGAACACATCTTCACGTAGCAAATTTAGAGTAATATGGTGTACACGACATGGTCCAAACATGAAAATGCATCGGATTATTCAGTAGAGTTTATATGTAAGCAACCGCTGATCAGGGTTGGAAACTTCTGGTAACTAGTATTTAGGGAGCAAGACGTATGGGGTAGAGACTATTGTACGTATCGATTTCAATGCTCAGGTGAGAGAATACTAGATAAAAGGATAAAGGATAAAGCTCTCGGCGTTGATCAATCCCTGAGGGATGTGCCATGCTTTCGACTTCATTGAGTATCGTTGGAGGTGATTTAATGCATATCTGGTCTTTACAATGACTCGCAGTGGCCTACCGATGTATCGAACCGGTGCTGCTATCCTCCGAGACAAGTCTGGTACCAGTTTGCCGGCTCCGGAGGGATGGAAGGATTGGTGGGCCATGGACCCGGGGATCGATTCCACGTGTGTGCCGCCGTGGCGCCTCCAACACCACTAAGGGAATATTGGATAATGTGAGGTTATTTCACTTAATATGTGACGGACAATTTGAACGCATAGTGTCCATTTCCAATTCAATGGATTACGGATCTCTTTTGCTACACTACTTATAGTCATTCGATAGCTGCTCGAAAGCAGATCAGTGAAGGAAGGATCGGACCGGAGAAACTACTCCCTACACTTAGTCACTTGATACTTGAACGGCCCGTCCTCACTGGTTGTGATGCTCTAGCATAATCAGCATTTTTCGGAGATTCGCTGGTTAAGCCATTGTGGTTCCCAGGAATCCCGAGGTCAGCGTGGCCAAAGTCTGCCCCCGGTCTTCACCTTCACTGGCAAGCATTGTGGTTCAGAGGGAGATTTGCCACCATGCCACTTTGATACCAGGACGGTGGCGGTTTCTGGTATTGGCTTGCTCTTAGCTAGGCTTCCTGATGGAAACACCGGACTCCTTCTCAGCCTGGGAGACCCTGCCGGAGAGACCATTCCCACCACAGTATATCGCAGCCTGACACCCAGAACACCTTCCAGCCACGATGAGGCGGTAAACCGTTGGGAGGCCGGACACTTAATGATCTATAAAAAACCCTTTTGGTGATAAGTCCATTGGCTGATAACTTTACTAACAATTAGTTGTTATTCTATTTTAATTCCTATGATGGATCGTGGTTATTGTATGGAATGTTCGGTTTAAAAACCGCCGAAATTGACTCAACATAAGCTGCAGAGTCCTTCCAAATACTGGCAACAATAGTATAAGAAACAGTAGCATGCACATCTGCAGAACGACAAAGCAGAGACTTTTCTACAATCTTGCGCTGTTCAGACCTTCTTGACTCCTCTAATAATCATAGAATCATGGTTTATTGTCAAAAAACCAGCAAATCCGTTAAGATTGCACATTAGGACTCGTCTATTGTGTCCTGGACTCACCAAGCCTTCCATCCTTTGGTGTACAAGCCAAATATGCATAGGATCACCTCTAACAGTGCTGTATGATGTCGAATGTATGCGCATCCCTCCGAGATTGATTAACGACGAGTACCTTTTCTCCCTTATATTTGTGTGAAACATTCTTCATTCTCTTAAACATGTGAGTCATCAACTTTACCATCCATCTTTCCGTTGGACGACCAGTAACTCGAACTAGTTTACTTAGATGCTTGTATAGCTCCTCTTCACTGGTTGCGCGGCCTCCAACACAATTTCTATCCTCCGACGACTTGCTGGTTCAGCCATTATAGCTCCCTGGAGTCCCGACGTCAGCCTAAGCGCAGCCTTACTGGCGTCGCCACCACCTCAGGCAGTCGCAGCCCTAGTTCGTCAGAGTGAGATTTGCCACCATGCGACTAGGTTTATACCTGGAAAGTGATGGATCCTGGTATTGGTTTACTCTTAGCTGGCCTTCCTGATAGAAACGCCAGACTCTTTCCCGGCTTGGGAGGCCTTGCCGTCAGGACGAGTCCTTCCGCTGTGCAACGCAGCCCAACACTCAGGACCACGTCCTAGCCACATTGAGAAGGTAAACCGCTGGAAGTGAAAAATATGATAGTCTGATTATTCTAAAAAACAACCTCAATAAACTTCGGCAATGGTAAGCGATTTTTTTCCACATTACTCAGCTAAAACGAGGTCGTTATAAAATGTTCTAAGGAAAGCGAATGAACCGAAACCTTAGCCGTATAAACATTGTATAACAATCTCATATTAGGTCCAAATAACAATCGAATAACAACTATAACAATATAGCAATCCAAGGAAAAATAATGGTACCTCAGAGTTTATTTTGGCGAGTAGATCTCATCACGTAGTACTCGCTTGGCTGCAAAGCAAACTTTTTTTTTGTTTCTTATGACCGGTCTACTGATCCCAGCACTTCTCACATTCGATTCGCTTCCTGCATCCATTGTCTACGAAGATCTTTCAACTTTTACTGCGGTTGCTGCTTGAGGATTTTCACTTTATCTTGAATGTCGTAGAATGCTCGCCGAGTCCATTCTTCCTGGTGTTCTGAAATAGCCGAGTTAGAGCGTTCGCAATTAGATTGCAGAGAGCGATTATTCCCAGACAAGTTCGGTACCAATTCCCTACCCCGGAGGGATGAGAGGCTTGGTTGGCTTGGAGCAGAATCGAACCAGTACCACGTTCGTGATGACGGACACCACTGCCATTGTGATATGCGCCCCTAGATATTAAAAAAGGAGACTTTACTGATTATCGTTCGTGTCACTCGATTATGAACGGTAAAGTAGTTGATACAGATGGCCTCCGACAGGTGAAAAAGACCCGTTGGTAGAAACTGTCGACCTCGATCGTATACAATATCCCACGCTAATATTTCTAAAAGCTTCCGACTTCCTTATAGCAGTTTCTTCAATTAGTGAGCTGATAAGTGGTAAGTATAACGATTCACTTCCATTGTTATCCAAAATAAACCTCTCTTCATTGCGCTTCTATGCAAACAAACGGACTAATCATTACAACCTAGAATTTTAGGCTTCCTGGTTCGTTCTCTTCCGTATTGCCCCGACGACATATTGCACATTGACGGGACAACTCGTACCGTATTGAAAGCCCGCGAACTTCGCCTCTCAATTTACTATTTTGTTACTACTTAGTAAAATCTGCTGCTCTTCCTTTCTTCTTTAATGTTTTGACGAGTAATGAAATGTTTTGATGATGGCGTTATATACCATTTATCTCAAAATTCGGTTATTTAAGTTGGAATGGGTAGATTTCATGGTTTCTTAGTGTTTATGACATTACAATGTAGTAAAGAGAAGTAACCATAAGAGTGTTTTTATTTACTCTGTAGTACTGCTCATGAGTCAGACTGCTAGCGTTGTAGTACTGCTCATGAGTTAGACTACTAACATTCCAGTCATTGTTACGTTACAGAACTTTGCGACCCCTTCAAAACGATGTGTGTTTTATGGCTCGTCTAAGTCTCGGTTTTATTTGTTTAAAGGTGAACGTCCGTTTTGCATATTACGAAGCGATTGTGCAAAAGTACACCTATGAAGGGGCGCGTATAGCGCGATGGTCAGAGGCGCTTTGTAATATACATGGAGTCGATCCCAGCGCACCTGCCCCACCAAGTCTTCCATCCCTCCGGGATCGGCATATTCGTACAAGACTTGTCTGGGAGGGTAGAAGCACTAGCTGGATAGATCGGTAGGCCAGCGCAAGCTATTTTAAAGGCCAGATATGCATTCAATCACCTCCAAACGATGCTTAATGAAGTCGAATGCATGTGGCATCCCTTAGGGTTTGATCAACACCGGGAGCTTTATCCCTCGTTTTACACCTATGAAATCGATCTTCAACGACATATTTTTTATTGTAAAGAACTGAGTTATGGTTTCTTTCAGAATAATAACCTCCCTTTCAACGGGAATGATTTCCGTGCTTTGGAATATCATTGCCTTATTCTCTACTTTTCAATATTCGTCAACATATAGGCTGAATGTACCACGAGTGCTGTTACCATACCATCCTACTATTCCTGTAACATTTCTACTAGAGGTTAGCCAACCCTCAGGAGGTTGTTTCAGCTGGTAGGTGTTTTCGTTAAGTTTTTTGTTAACGGTCGTTCGAGAGGGGTATTTGCTGAGTAACAAAAACCACTGTGTGGAATATTTCCTTCCATAACTTCCTTTACTTGTTGACCGTTAACGTGCTTTAGGCGTTCTACTCGCCCTGATGTGGTTTCTGTAAGTGCCATCGGGACGAATCAGGGCGAGTGTTCAGATAAAGCGGAAATTCGTTCCACGGCAAAAGCCGTATCCGGGGAACTGAGCGCTGTGATTTTTGCTGAAGACAGTGGTCAGTTCTACAACGCTTCAACTGAAATTGTTCTTTTTACAAAATGAAATATGGAAAATGGTTGTTCTAATTCCTAAAGACGGTCTCGTAAGAACAAGTTGTTCTCATTTTTCTTTGTAAGTGTAATATTTCTTAAAACTGCTATAAAAAAGGTTGTTTAGGTTTCGCCAAGTGATTTCCATTTCTTAACGGTAAATTTGTAGTTGGATCTACTTAGATATTCGGATACTTGGATGTCCCTTCCTCGTTGGTTGTGCAGGTCCCAGCATAATTTCCATTCTCCGAAAATTTGCTGGTTTATCCACTGTGGTTTCTTGGAATCCCGAGGTCAGCCTAGCCAAAGTCTGATCCAGGTCGTCACCACCATAGTCAGTCGCCGCCGTCGTGGATCCTAGTGAGATTTGCCACCATGCGAGTTTGACACTAGGACAGTGGTGAATCCTAATGTTGGTTTATTTTTAGCTGGGCTTCCTAATGAAAACACGGGATGCCTTCACAGCTTGGGTTGCGTTGGTGAGGAGTTAACTCTCCGCGTTGTACATCGCAGCCCGACACCGAGGAACACCTGCCAGCCACGAAAACCATTGGGAGGGTGATTGAATTATACTGTGGAAAGTAGAGACCTTGAATTTGATCCAGTTCAAATTAGCTATCTTTGAGTCATTTATGAGGTTTATGCTTTCAGCGTCATCAACCATGCTGAGCTGCGGAGTATCGGTCGATTTGATATCGAGGATCCGCGTAGAAACTACGACAAAAATTCTGTTCGTGGATGCTGCACCCGCACGAATGATCGTCGAAGCATTCAACTCAGAAGGTTCTAATCTGTTCTGGTTTTCTATACCAAATTTATTAGGTGTATTTCTTTAGGAGACAAGTTTTCTACGCTTAGTGAGATTCCAATTGACTGGGAACTGTCTCATACTGGGGATGGTCGACCTCTTCGCATAGTACCATTTGAGCAGTCTACCTACGAAGCACCGAACGAGATTATGAAATTAGAAAATAATAAGAAGAAAGGTCCACACAGTTTTTCATGAATAATTTTTTCAATCCATTGCTGTACACTGATGCTATTTCTCCAGGATACGTCGTTCTGGTCGAAGGAGTCTTAACTGGATCTGCCACATTAACTGCAAAAATCGCTGAACCTCCTTACTCTGTACGATGATTTCTTAGTTTTCAAGCTTCAAGTAGTGGCGCAGTGGTCGGAGGCGCCCTGCGACACAAACATGAGATCGTACCCTGCGCCCATGGCCCACCAAGCCTTCCGTCCCTCCGAGGTCGGCAAATTGGTACTAGACTTGTCTGGAAGGATAGTAGGCACTGGCTGGATACATCGGTAGGCCACCGCGGGTCATTGTAAAGGCCAGATATGCATTAAGTCACCTTTTATGATAATTAATGAAATCGAACGCATGGCGCATCCCTCATCAGGAAGTGATCGACGCCGAGAGCTTTACATTTTTTCATAAGCTTAAAGTGTCGTTCGCTGTTGTTTATATAAAAATGACTTTCTTAAATGGGTATTATTGCAAAAGAAAAATCAATTTCTGTTTGGAATAGAGTGGGAGAAAAGTACAACAACTGCTTATAGCACATCAGTGCACACAGCTTGGATCTCACCGTGGTTGCTAATCTCCTGCTTCTTCCCGCCCACGATCTGTTTGTACCGGTATATGCAGTAGTGCCATTCCAAGTGCAGATAGTGAAGCAGAGTGTTACAGAAGGTGAGGGATTTCTTATTGTATCATAGTAGACCGGGGGGCGTGTAGCGCAGTGGTCGGAAACGCTCTGCAATGCGCATGGGATCCATCCCAGCGCCCTAGGCCCACCAAACTCTCCATTTATCCGGAGTCGGTAAATTGGTACTAGACTTGTTTGCAAGGATAGCACCAATGGTTCGACACATCGGTAGGTCACTACGAGTCATTGTAAAGGCAAGATATGCATTCAGTCACATTTATGATAATGAAATCGAATGCATGGTGCATCCCTCAGGAATTAATCAACGCAGAGAGCTTTAGAGCTTCTAGAGTTTTATCGTAATAGAGCGAAGTAGCTTTCGCCACAACTTTTCAACCATCTGGCTTGCTAAGATCTGCTTCCAACTACCTTTTGTTATTTGTGAACATTTTAAGAAATTCCAATGCCGTCATCAGACTACTACCTGAAGGTGGATTCCGAGACAGTTTGTAAACTTGACAAGAAAACGTCGTCAGTTCAAGCTTTAACTCGTGGACGAACAGACATACATCTTCTCAGCCAAAGTACGTGCGAGTGTTATCTCTCTGTACTGTTATATTTCCGTCATTCTTGCTGTGTATTACATATGTTTTTATTTAAGATGTTGACGTCAAAGCAAAGACAGGAGTGCGTCCTCCATCAACTGCTATTTATGTGGTTGATCCTGAAAGCATTCAGTGGGTCATCTCTGGAGGTGGTAATTGGTTGTTACAGACAGGAACTCATTATAAGATGTCTGTTTCACTCGTTGATCCACATGGGAATACGATGTATATAAGTAATGTGAGTGTATTCTCTGCTTTTATTTGGGCGTAGATTTGGTTGTGATAGTCTGCTTCCAATATTTCAAGTTATTTTCACTAAAGCTATCTTCCAACAGGTAGCAATCTAAGGGCCTTTGTTTTTTTTTGGAAGGCAGGCCCATATTCCTTTCCCTAACTTAATTTTAAGATTTGTAACTAACAGTGAAGCACGGATGAAGTTATGCTCAGCATCTCAATGTAGTCGTACCAATGCTGTTTCTGATTGAAAGTCATGGCTTTTAGAATCTTCGATTCGAAAGCACCATCCCAGAAGTGTACTTTGATGTGCATTTTATATCGAACAACCAGACATATTTCGAAGTGACACCGAGGAAAGTGGGGAAAACGATTCTAAAGAGTCGATTCGTCGCTGCAATGGATGAGGTCCACTAGCTTTCAACCGTCTTCGGATTCTCAAGAATTCCTATTCCTGTATTGTAGATTATTTTTCCTTATTCTGTTTATTATAGAAAGCCAATATACATGAAGCTGCTGGTAAGGTAACCGGCGAGCAATCTGTGCAAATAGTAGATCCTGTGCGAATATCGCCCAGAGAGGTTATGTTCCCGTACCTTCCTCGAAGGAAGACGTCATTCATGCTAAAGGTGCTTTTTATCTGCGGTTTTCTGTTCCCTCTTATTCTTTTCTACACACATTCACTTCCTTAGGCAACTGGAGGAAGTGGTCTATACGATTGGAGTACAGGTGACACATCTGTGTGCACTGTGGACTCAAACGGCTTGCTAGGTGTCGCGTCTCCAGGAACGACGGTGGTTGTAGCGTCCGATAAGAGAAATCCTGCTCATAAAGATAGCGCATCAGTATGCTTTACTTTGTCATGAAATCGTATTGCTTTATAATGATGTTTCTTTTTGTAAGGTTTCTGTGTTAGACGTTCTCTCCTTGACTTTTGGAGAAACACGCAAAGAAGCTGAAGTGGGCTCGGATCTCATCGTCAATATACAGTTAATGGGCGCTAGTTCACATGGATTAGTTCCGTTCACCGATTGTCGCGCTGCAGACTTTCGTGTACAATCATCGGATAATGATGTTTTCAGACCAGTAGCAGGTGCGTATTGTAAGGAGTTAGTTTGACGACGGTTGTCCTCCTATTTCCATAGCACTGGATGCTTCTTCGAATTCTTTTTTTTTTTTGAAGAATATGTTCCGACATTGCCATCAGTTGGGACCGGTTGTTCAACAGTAATGTTGAAAGCTATCTCGTCAGGTGATGCGAAAATTACTGTGTCATTCGATCATTATGAAGCGGTGTTAGATGTGTCGTCGTACCCACCATTACAAGTGAGTCTTCTTTTATTTGTGTTTTAATTCTCATCCTTATTTCTCATCCTTATGTTTCATAGTTCACAAATACCAGGTGACTAAAGATAATCTGGCTCTCGCGGTTGGCAGTAGTCTTAGCGTTGCTTTCGAAGGCGGACCAAGGCCATGGCTAACTGACATATCTAGGCATTATCGGCAAGGTTAATTTCTTTGCTTTTACACTTTTATTTCGTGCTTCTATTTCCAATGTTAACGTTAATTTCAGCTTCTGTTGAACCGCTGATTACTACCGTCGTGATAGACGACTTGTTTAATGTAAAGTGTGGTTTGGTTGATGGTACAACGGTGGGTTTTCTTAATACTGCGCCCTTGCATTGTGATTTTCGTGGCGTAGATCAGTATTTTCAGACCGCCCTTCTCGAAGTTGGAAATAAGCCATCAGCGCAACTTCCTTTCCCTGCTATTGCAACAAAGAATGTGTCAGTTTGTTGTGCTTATCCCACTAGATTAGTCATCAGGCCAGTTATTGGAATCGAACCAAAATGTCCTTCAAACATGGTGAGCTTTGCATGGATCTTGAGAACAGTAAAGATCTAGTTTTGTTTTGAATTTGTTACAGAGAGTTCTGCTGAGTGATTCGTCCATGAATGTTACCCTTTTCGCTTATGGTTCATGTGTAGGTGGAAATGATCGTGTTCTGGACTCGATTTCTGGCCTTAGTGTGGGTTTTTGTTTTATTCCCAATGTTTTCTTTCGTTTCAAAGAACTAACGAGTTTAGACAACATGGACTACTTCAAATACGAGTGCACTGGTGGTACACTATGTGCACGAAGACGATCATAGTGAGTTTCCTTGTGTTTTGCTAACGTCGCGTTTTTTGTTTTGTTTCTACCCTCGTTAACAAACACTTGCTTTTACAAATACTCATGGAGGCGAATGGATTCATGACAACGAGGTAATCCAAGTATGAATTAGTTCTTATAATTTAATTGGAAATTGCTGTTACAATACTACATGGAAACTAGGATGGCCCGTCTTCTCTGGTTGTGCGGGTCCCAGCACAATTTACATTTTTTCAGAGTTTTGCTGGTTTAGCCACTGTGGTTCTCTGGAGTCTCGCGGTCAATCAGGCCAAAGTCTGCCCAAGTTCGTCACCACCAGGGGCGGTAGCCGCGCTTGTGGATCAGAGGCAGATTTACCACAATGCGACCAGTTTGATACTGGGAGGGTAGTAGATCCTGGTATTGATTTACTCTTAGCTGGTCCTCCTGATGCAAACGCTGGGTTCCTCAGTTTGGGAGACCTTACTAGAGGATGAATCTCTCTGCTGGATGTCGCGCCCAGAGACCCAGGAACACCTAGGGATAATGAGGCGGTAAACCGTTGGGTGGTATTGTAATAACCATATTTTATACTGAATAGCTGCTAGTGCATGTAATGTCATTATTCGGACCAGGCCAGTATGTCATATACGTAGATACGTTGGTAATTTGTCTTTAAAGCTGCATAGTTCAGCATGTTTTCCACTCTTTTCGTTTCATGGCTGTCCTATTCCATGACAGTGATCTTTTTCATGCGTGTATCCGTGAGTATCGCACTGATGGCTGTCTTTGACCCACGTTCGATGTATATATTAGACTGGAACTTAAGAACTAGCCGGTTTTTACTACTTTTTTGTTTTTTGATTTCATTTGTCCGGATATAACTAGTCAGTGATGTGTTCATCATCATAGTGCTATTTGACCGTTGGCTTATTAAGGTAAACGTGGAAATTTGGGTTTATCAGTTAATTTTTTTTCGTTTCGGTAGCTTTTTTGAGGTGTTTGAACGCAAACAATGCTGTGCTTTTTCCTTTGTACATATCCCTTATCTCGTTATCCATAATTATTAAATCGTTTAAGTTCACATAAGGTTTTGCTGAAGTGGGGAAATTGTTTCAGTTAATTTCATATCGTACCCTGGTTTTTTAGCGAAATTTTTTTTTGAATTTATGGGTATTGTTACGCTTTATCGTTTATCTCTTCGAAAACCGTTTCACTACTACAAAGACGATCTTTATAAATGGTAGCTCAAAATGAAGTCGATAAGGTTTCTCCACTTTTACGTATGTCCTTTTAATGTCTATTAGGGAATTTCATTACCCTCTAAAATGTGGCTAAAAGCAGCAGAGATAAGATGATATCGAGATGAATGATAAAGCTCTCGGCGTTGAGAATCCCTTAGAGATGCGCTGTGCATTCGACTTTACTAAGCATTGTTTCGAGGTGATTTAACCCTTATCTGGCCCTTACGGTGACTCGCAATGGCCTGCCGAGGTATCGACCCAGTGCTACACTATCCATCCAGATAAGTGTGGTAGCAATTTACCGACCCCGGAGTGATGGAAGGCTTGGTGAGCCAACGGTGCAGGGATCGACCCCTAGTGTATTTCAGGGCGCCACCGACCACTGTTCCACCTTTATTTTTATTTAATTATCACTCTTTGTCACTGTTAACGTTCTTTTACAAATTTTTCGTGTTTCCTTATTAAATTTGTGCCTGGACATCAATAACATTTCGAACTACAATGACCATTATTTTTTGCAGCATTTGCTGTTATCGAGGGACGTGGTGTCGTTGGTCCGGTTGTTATAAGTGCAGAAATGTTAACTGAAGGAAGGGATAGTTCAAAGCGGTTTGTCAAAGCAAGTCTGGACTTTCGAATCGTGGAATCTGTTGTCGCAGAACCGCCTGAGCTTGTCAGTTGATACACTTCAAAATCTGTTTAACACGGTTGTAAGGACATATATTGATTTAATACGTAGTGTAAAGTAATTTAGTATTCTACTTACCAGCGCTCATATCGGCTGAAAGAGTGCTTATTAATTAAAAAGAGAAATGGCTGAGAGGAAGGCGAGACGAATGGCACGCACCATGTGGTAGTGAATACATTAGCCCCCGGAAAAATAATGGCAAGTTCGATATCCACTGCAAGGACCTGCGGTTTTGCAAATATCTCAGCATCATTGTGGTTAAAAACAAAAATTCCACAAATTTTTGCTTTTTTACCTTTTTGTTGAAAGAGCTTGTATTTGGAACAATGGGATCTCGTCAGCAACGTCATGTTCTAATACAAAAGTTGTATTTTTTCCTTACGGGTTTTGCTGTTCGTACACTCTAATCTTTGAAATTTGTCCATTGTATTAATAGTTTTTTAAGTTCGAATTCTGCAAAATTGAAGTCATGATAGTACTTTTTAAAGTTGTTTCCCATTAGAGCAATAGGATAGGTCTCTTCATTAAGTCTGCCCAGTCCTCCGATTGTGAAGGTCATTCATCAGGAAGTTTATTCATAATGTTGCTGAAATATTTGCAAAACTCCGGACCGCTGGTGTCAGCGATGGGGACCAAAGACGGCATTACCCTTTGAGGGGCTAACGCGTTCACCATCACGTTATGGGAGTCCTTCATCACGTCATGCGGATCCTTCATTTAGCCTTTCTCTCGCCGTGTTATTGACCTGTATTCACGTACTACCTTGCCATTAAAAAGAATAGGCAGTTAATAAAATGTGACGATATCAGGAAGTTTTTGCGGAAATCGAAGGGCAACACCGTTGCGAAGGTGATAAAATATGACAAATCTCAGCACTAGCTTTAAGGTGCTTTGGAATGAAGAGTCAGCTGTTGGTATGGTCAGGTTGAACCATGGATCCGGACATTTTCGTGTTCATGAATTGCCGGGGATGCCATTCACGACTGTTGTTAAAGATAGTACAGTTATGGTATGTTCATCGAATAAGGCTTTGTTCTTCCTTGTTTTCCTTATCATTGTGCAAAGATTTGTAGTTAACACCGCGATCAAGAGGTGCTGGTACACTGCGAATTGAGGACGTATGCATAAATGGAGACTATATTGATGTTCCCGTAAAAATCACCGACATTCATTCACTTGTCATTTATGGGCCACAAATTGTACTATGTTTATTCCAAATTTCTTTCTCTTGATGTCGCTTTCATAATAAAAACGAAGAAGAAAATCAGATGGAAGTGGGAACTGAAGTCGAAGTGTTTGTGGACGCCGTGGATGAGGACGGGATCCCTTTCTCCCGCAATTATGGTGCTTTATCGAACGTTACAATTGATTCAAGTGATGCAACTGTCCATATCACAAAGTAGGTGGTGTTTTGAACTCCGTTTTTATTCTTTAGTTTCCTCTTCTAATGCTGCTTTTATAGTATTGCCTTCCTAATCTCAAATTCAACACATCCTTGTACGGTGTAATCACTTTTTACTTATTGCCTATTCTTTTTCATTTCATGGCAGGGTATGATGTAAAATATAACCGTAGTAATGCTGAGATATTCGCAAAACTCCGGATCGCTGGTGTCTGCGGTGGCGACCGAATACGCTACCACCCTCTGCGGAGGCTAACGCGTTCACCACCACACCATGCGGGTCTCTCTTTTCGCCTATCTCTCAACCTTGTTTTTGACTTATAGGTGCTATCAGCAGTCAGGTTATATTTCACATAATATCCTGCCGTTAAAGGAAGAATAGGCAGTAAATAAAAAGCGACTACATTTATCCCACAGTTTCGGGTTAACTGAGGCAGGCTATTCTTTTTTCATAGCCGGCTATGATGTAAAATATAACCACAATGATGCTGAGATATTTGTAAAACTCCGGAAAGGGCAATGACGTGTTCGATCTCCACTGCGGACACCGATCCAGAGTTTTGCGGATATCTCAGCATCATTTTGGTTATGTCACCCATAGTCTACTTTGTTGTGTCGGCGAACTATTACGTTTTTCTTTAAGAGTTAACTCTACAAACTATCGCATTCGAGCATTGTCGGTGGGTGGAGCGACTTTAATTGCATCAGCCCGTCCTACTTCGGGACGTACGTTGACATCTCGACCACATTCCATTCAGATATTTTCGCCTTTGTTGCTGTTACCTCAGAAGGTCACACTCATCCCTGAAAGCACCTTTCAGGTCATTTTTTTTTCAAACAGATTGAGTTTTCGCACCATGCTTAGTTCCACTTAACTTTGTTTAGTTGGAAGTTTTTGGTGGTCCACAACCCACACATCATATTGACTTCGCTCTTAACAATTCGGAAGCCGCTCATATTGATCCTAATGCGTTAATAACGTCGAAAAGTTTGGGTTGCACATCGATTACCGGCTCAGTGAAAGTGGGTGGAAAGCACTCAACAGAGGTTAGCTTTTCTTTCCTTTTTCACTTTCAATGTTAAAATCTTTACTGTTTTGTCAAAATATTCACTATTCTAATCACGTGTTTATATCGCAATCAGTATATCATTAGTACTACTGGGGTTTGTTTCAAAGGTACCTTGGATCTGCTAGTGCTGAAAGCTGAAAGTACTTTGTGCTCGACTGTCCTATTCATGTTTTCAGAGTACTGTAACTCTGTGCGTTGTTTCCCTAACTGGAGTACAAGTAATAACATCCACTCACGTTATCGAACGAGGCGGTCATGTATGGGTTAGAATAAATGGCCTGGATGAATCTGAAACTCCTTTCTCTTTCGGTGGAGCTATTCATCCGTTTAAGGTTGTGTCATTAGCTTTTTTGATCTTTTTGTAAATAGTTTTTCCTTCATAACATGGTGATTATCGCTTTAAGGTGACATGGAGTGTTAGTCATCCAAACGTACTCAAGGTAGTCCATCCATTTGGGCCATCGGTTTCGGAGGCTGATGAGAATCGATTCGTTATTTGTCTCGAAGGAGACAGTGTTGGCTCGGCTGTTGTTAAGGTATCTCGATTCCTTTGCAGTCATCTTTCATGTTTTTCGTAATTAAAATTCATGATCAGAAACGATTTAAAATTAGGTTCGCGTCGAGTTGTCAACCCTTGCGAGAAACCATTTTATGGGTCGTTCACGCGTATTTGAGGACAATGTAAAAATACGCGTAGAGGAACCATTGTCAATGCCCCAGCTCGATATACCGATTTCCACCATTCGGATAGCACAAAATACTCAGATGCAGTTGGAAACGGCATGGTCAGCCTCTTCCTGCTTTTAGTATTCTGTTTAATTCCATTTTAGTTGTCTGTTTTTTGAATTTACTTTAGGCCACAGTCTAGCGTGGAATTCTCAGTGCCGCGTGAATTTTCACGTCTGTTATCTGTCTCAAAATCTGGTCTTATTCGATCTAATTCGCTGCTTGGTCCTGCTGCGCTTGTAGTACGCCGGCTTGACTTCTCCAAGAACGAAACCTCTATGATACCAGTCACGGTCCGTTCATTACAGAATCGAAAGTTTGGCCATTCGAATAACAACTGGTTACAGAAATTTCACTTTGACTTACAGGTGTCTGCGGTTCACGCAATTGACGTTATTCTGCTAACAAAAATCGATCTTGTGACTTCGGTTCCGTTGTTATATCTTCCTGTAGGCGCCAAGATCAGACTACAGGTAGTTTTCCGTGACTCACGAGGTCGACAGCTAAATGAAGCTTCTTCGTCTATTAGTTACCGTCCTCATAGGTGAGCTCGTCCTTAATCTTTCCATTGTTGGTTTCATTAATACTGTTTCTGTTTTTTCAGATTTGACTTGACAGAGATAATATCATCCAATTTAAACAAAACGTTGACTGTCACGATGAAAACTGCTGGTGAAACCGTACTTCAAGTACGTTATTCTCATTAGTTTATCGTTTTTTTTTGGTCAAGGAATTAATCTACGCTTTTTTCCTGATTGTAGTGTTGTTATTATCCAGATCTGGAACACAGATGATCATTCCCAAAATGTTTTCCTCCGGCTTTCGGCTAAGGAGCAGTTATATCCAAGGAGTCGGCAACCAGTAGTCTCTGATATTGTTTGCTTCGCCTCACCGTTAGTAGGGGCAATGCGTTGGTCTTCAAGTGATGATCGCATCGAGTGGTTGGATGTCGAGCATGGGGTTGGCAAACTTATTGAAGATGGCAAAGCGCATGTCACTGTTAATGTAGCAGAACAAATGCTAACTACTTCGGTGAGTTTAGCTCACAATTAGTGAACCTCGTTGAGCTTCAGTTTCAGTATTTTATCAATGGTTTTACTATGAAGCCTGAAAGGTTATCAAGGCTTCCAACAATTTCTTAAAATATAATTTTTTTGCTATAGTGACTTTTATATTGTAATTGTTCTTAGATAACAATCAGACCTGCTCAACAACTACTGTTCTCCGAGGACACACCGAATTTTGTCACCAATTTAAAAGGATCCTCATTTGTATTTCCTGTGAACATATTTACGAATGAAACTGTTACATCCGAAACTACAATGGCAGGTTTGTCAACCCACTTCGAAATTTTTTGATAAGGTTTTTCTTTTTAGGAAGAGAATTCCCCATTAATGCTTAGTGCTGTGACCATGCTTTATTTAATCGCTTAATTAAAGTTTTCGAATATGGTTGAATATTAGGTAATTCGCAAGCCTTTAACGTAGTTCTTTCCTTTTTGCCTCTCAGAAGAAGGTTCCAAATAAGTGATTGATTTTTCAGAGGAGTTTTGAACGTGAAATTTCACAGGTATATGATAATTCCTAAGAAGTGTTGTGTCATCCTGATTTGGAAACCAATTTTCTGAAATGACTTTCGAAACGTAGTGTATAGGCTAAGGAGACTTCGAAAGTGCTTCAAAGTCCAAAATAGATCGGAGCAAGACAATGAATGACCCAGATGCTTTCAAAACGAAATTCGACAATAGTTGTAATGTATACAGTAATGAAATTGTATCAGTTACCTCTATCACGTATTGTCTCTTCGTTCGGCCACTGATTGGTGCGGACGCCCGTCATGTCTTCGTCTGTCTCTGTCGAATGCAAGAGTAGCGCAGTGGATTTTGCTCGCCAGGACTGGTCATGTCTTTCCTACAGGATATTCGTAAAAGAATCTAACAATCGAGACGGTGGCATTCCTACTGTGTGTTTGATATGCTGTGGAATCCAGTTCGTAACATCTACTGTTCATTGTTTAGACGATTCCCATCTCAGCACACTTGGTCCTCGAAATTTTGACGTGCTCGGCGGCGAAGCTGAACTTTGGGTGTTGACGTAGGCCGGAACTTCAGATTCCATCCCTCACTTGCGTGATAGGGCGTAATTCGAACGTCGTCCTTTCAGCTGTGCGTTCTATAATTCTAAGTTATCTTCCATCTCACTTATATATCGTCTATGTCTTTGACGTGTGCTTAAGACAAGGAGAATCGTGGAGCTGAAATTGTGAGCACGGAGTCGAGTGTTTTTTCTTCTCCTCAGTACATACTCAATGAATTCTTCCAAGCCTCTCTCTTCCTCCTGCTGAATCCTGGAGCTAATTCTTTCATCATATTGTCTTTCCTATTAAGGTACATATAGTTGGAGCATTCGAAGGTATTCATCACGTTAAGCGAGATTCGGGCATGAGAGAGAAATCCGTTTCTCCTGGACACTCGTTTACGTAAGGTTTGATATACAATCTTTCATTTAGTACTCTTGGTTAAGGCTTGATGCTACTAGAATGGTATTGCCAATGAAACGAAAATAGTGTGATTGCTGACAATCACCGTGCACTCTCTTGTCGTCTGGTTCGATTTTTTGCACAACGTTCTCAGTGGCAGCTGTAAATAATTTTGGCGATATCGTATCACATTGGTGGAATCCTTGTTTTATGTCGACCTGAATATCTCTGTAGAATGGCGGTATTCTGGTTGTGAAATTTTTATATATCGCAAGAAGAATCTTTATATACTGAATAGGGATTCCCTGGCTGTCCAGGACTGCTATAGTCGCTTCTATCTCAACCAAGTCAAAAGCTTTCCCTAAATCGGCGAAAGCGTGACACAGCGATCTTTTGTGCTCTCGTGATACTTCAGTAAGTCTTGTAATCGTGTGAATATGGTCCATCGTACTGAATTCTTTTCGAGACCTTGTTGCTTATATGGCTCTCTTTCGTCCAGTGAATGTTAGTTTGCAGACAACATACAGAAAATGGACTGGGCAATAGTTGCTAATGTCATGGAGATGACCCCTCTTGAGCAACAGCAGAGTCTTGCTTGTCTTCCACTGAGTAGGAGCCTAGCATTCTGGCAGGCAACGTGTGGACTGAGCCAATACGTTTTTGACGAATTGCGGATGGTTCTTTAGGTGTTCAGGTCTTATGCTGTCCAGACTAAGTGTTTTTTCATTCCAGACCAACAAAACTTTGTCGGATTTCAGAAGGGAGAACCAATGGGACGATGTATCCATCCTCCTTTATTTCATATTAGAGTACGAGGACATGGCTATTGAAGAAATCCGAGTAGTAATCGCGAATGATTTTTTCCATTCCCTTTCTGGAAGCTGTATCTGTTCCGTCTAGGCGTCGGGGTGCAATAATCTAGGTTTTGTAATTGAAGAAGCTTCGGTGCGATTTGCGAATACTTTTCCCAGCCTCTCCAGCTTCAACCATAAATGCTGCTTTTCTCTCTTTAAGGTCTTCCGTTATCACCTTGATGCATTCTTTTGCAGATTCGCAAGAGAGTTGGTTGTTTCCTGTAGCTCGTACGATTCCTCTTTGACCGATCAGGTCGAGTTTTCCTGGTGGCAAGCGCCTCTGTATATATTTCGAATTCTCGGCTTCCATAGTATGAACGTTAAAATGGCGAACGAGGGGATCGTATTCTTCATAGATGTCGGTAACGACATCTTCCGAAAAGCAGACTAATGATCAGAACAAGTCCCAGTTTGCAGTGGTTTGGGATTTTTTGTGCTTATCCTTCGTCTTTCCTTTCGGCGAAAAGTGGAGTATTGCGCAAGGGAAGCGATTGTTCGACCGATGTAGAATTTTGAGGTAATACCCGAAATCCGTTAGGTAGGACTTCCGATTTAACTGTGATGTAGTCTATTTCGTCATGGTATTCGTCATTGGGGGGCTTCCACATCCAGTGTCGAGGGTGGGGTTTCTATAACTGCAAGCTACTACGAATGCTCTTTGTTGTCATGATAAACTCAGACAGCAGCTCGCCCTGCTTATTCAGTTCTAATCCGTGGATCCCAAAGTAACGTTCTAACGTTCTTGTGAGTCTAGTCTTAGCGTTAAAATCTCCAATGATAACCTTAAAGAATACGTGGTCTTCTCGCTAGAATTCCTCCAAGTCCATATAAAACGCTTCGACTTTTTCGTTATAGCTGGGTGTTGGTGGATAACGACGAAAATTGTTAGTACCAGTGTTGATCCACATCTGTTCAATCGTAAACACCCAATTTAGGTTGTTAGTTGTTCGAATGAATCGATGTTCATGGACATACTTGTGTTGACGAGAACTCCGAGGCCGCCGACTGTTCTACCGTCGCTTGTTCCGAGGAACAGTTCTTCTTCGGTGTTGTGGACGGCGTTGAATGGGCGGTGTCTTCTTGTCTCAACCAGTCCGATAGCTTATCCTTTTTGCCTGCATAGTCAACTACCCCATCAAGGACTCACATGCAAGTGTGCATGCATTGTAGATACAGATCGTCACCTTAGTCCTTCCACATATAGACAGCCTAGAATGGCTGCGAAATTTTAGTAGCAATTTTAGCAGCTACCTGAAGCCGCTGTACCAGGGTCCTTTTGGTGTCAGGGAGTGAAGGCCATTTATTCTATATGTTCGGCTTTCGATATCCATACGTAGTTTGTTGAGCTCTTAGCTAGGGGTTAGGTATACTCAGGGATAGCTTGTCAATTTCATCCCTATTATACGGAGCTTATTTGTGGGATGTGACACATAACCTTCTCAAACACAGAACCACCTACATTTCTGTCTATTGTTTTTCTGTTTGAAAACTCTTGAGCGAATTGACTTGTAGAATACACAGTGGAAACTTGGTATACTTAGTGGAAACCTCATAGAAAGCGGCTCTGAGGAAGGCGAAATCCTTGTAGAGTAGTCTTCATGAAAGAGGGCATACACACACACACACGAGCACATGCATGAATATGGCTTCTTAAACACGCTAGGTATGTATCAAACCGGCTTAGTAGAAACAGAGCATCTATCCTCTGGATCCACTTGCATATCAGGGAAGCACAAAGCTGCTTTTGGTCCGCGTTTATCATCTTATCCGTTTTCTCAGACCGAACACCATAGCATCGAAATTAATCGCCTAGTGACCTCAATAGCGTTTTTTCTTCCCATTCCGGCCGGTGAAACAACTGCGCGAAATTTCTTTCGTACTAAGCACGCGAAATATCAGATGCCGTGAAAGGGTTGCAAGAAACGAAACCCTTTCTTGAGAGGGGAAGAGTTCAGTGTTCAAAGTGAGGTGGAAAATTCTTTCCAAATTTATTGAGAGTCCGTGATCGGTGAAGTAAGAAATTGGCATGGTGTTTGGTTTTGATGAGAAATACAAGTGGTTAAATAGCCAACACTTTCTTTATTTATCGATTTTGCAGTATCATAGTTGATATCTATTGTACATGTACGCTCCGAATTTAGAAAATCCTCAAGTTTTCTGCTGTATAGATTGCACTGAAGCTCAACTGGTAGCGTTGTCTTCCCTTCGAGCTCCATTCGAATGTGCAACAACATTTGCCCATACAAAAATAGGTCCTGCAGTGAACATACTTTCTGTCAAGTCTGTTTTCCTACCAAGCGCAAGTATGTTCGCTAATTTACTTTCCTTTTTTTTACATAGAAATAGTACTATGGCAAAACAGCGAAGTTTATTAAAAGGGTCGTATGCTTGCGTCATCAGCCAGCAAGAAGGCGGTCAAGTGCGGTTAGATATAACTGCAGCGACGCAAATGGATCTAAACGTAGTTGCGAAGTGGATTGGTAATTCTCAAGTAAGTGCTTGCTCCAACCTACGCATCGTACGTACGTACACGGAAAATTTGTACTAAATCGACCCTTAAGATTCCGGAGGCTGTGCAAAAGACCATCTTTCATATGGCGATGCATGTGGTGGAGTCGGAGGTAAGTTGCTACGTTTCTACTAGTTAATTTAAACACTTTGGTTGCTCTAAAATTGAGATTAGATGACCGTCGATTTCAAAGTCTATGCTTACTTACTTGGATACTTGGATGGTGCGTCTTCACTCGCTGTGCGGACTCCAACAAAATTCCCACTCTTCGGAGTTTTATTCGTTTAGCAGTAGTGCTTCCCTAAAGCTTCGAGGTCAACCTGGCCAAAGTCTGCCCCAGGTCGTCACCACTAGAAGCGGTTACCTCCCATGTGGATCAGAGGGAGATTTGTCACCATGCGACTAGTTTTATACCAGGGTGGTGGTGAATCATGATATTGGTTTACTCTTAGCTGGGTTTCCTGATGGAAGCGCCTGACTCCTCAGTTTGGGAAACCTTACTGAGAGGATGAGTACCCCCGCTGTGCGTCACAACCCGACACCCAGAAACAGCTCCCAGCCACGACTAAGAGTAAACCGTTGGGAGACAAACCTATACTAGTTTTATTAAACGATTCTTTAATGTTTTATAGGTCCAGCTGTCTGATGTAGATCAGAAGTCGGCAGTATTATCACTGCACGTTCCGTCATATCAACTACGTCACGTAAGCCTTCTTCCTACAAAACACTATTTAGGCACTGTAATTCATGGCTCTAGTTTTATGATGTTTAAGGTTGTCGCCTCAGGGTGTGCCGGAGACATTGTTAGTGTTACTGAATCACGTAAGCCTGCAGCTTTGAACACGGCAGCCAATAAATTTTTCTTAGTGAAGGTATGTGTACCTTTACGCTAGCTATCGAAAAGTACTGGCTGATACTTTACTGAACTACTGCCTGTCTCACTTTAACTGGCAGTTGTTTCTTTTCCATCCTTTGCAAAATTGCAACTGGAACATCCTTTTTATTCCACTTCAAGTGTTCGTCGTGTTTTTCAGCCAGCCATAAGGGAAGTCGTTGCTTTTGAAGCGCGCAACTTATTTCGTCCCGTTACTTCTTAACTTGCTTGCAGAATGGGGACAAAATTTTTTTTGAAATTCGTTTGTGGTTACGAAATATTGTTCTTGTTTCTCTTACAAGCCTAATACTGCACAAATTCAATCTGCAATTCTGTGGTTTTTTTCCAACTTTTTGCCTTCCTTCGTATTTGACAAATAGAACATGCATGATACAGTCCGCATATACACCACTGTTGATAAATATAACCACAATGATGCTGAGGTATTTGCAAAATCCCGGAGCACAGGTGCCTGCGGTGGGGATCGAACCCGTTATTGTCTTTTTGGGAAGCTAACGCGTTCACCACCACACCATGCGGGTCCTTCCTTTCGTTTTTCTCTTAACCGTGTTATTGACCTATAGTTGCTACCAGCAATCACCCGTTAATGGGCATCATTATGGTTATGTTTCACACAATACTCTGATATCAAAAAATAGTAGTCAATAAATCAAAATTGACGACCTTGTTTGCAAATATATTCATAAAAATGTAACGTTTAATTTAAAATGTAACGAGCTCTCATGTGAATTCAGGCCATTAGATCATTCATTGAAGTCAACTTCATCTTATTAAAAGTGCGTCGTCATAACACAAGTAATGTAACTTCGCGACTGTTTGACTCTAGATCCCCAATGTGGTTCATAGATGTAGCTTCTTGATTATTACCGCTGTTTAGTTCTAGTTTCAGAGTTATTCTTTTTCCACTTTTGAAACAGAGTATAATCCCCCGTTGTTTCCAGTTAAATATCAAATCGGCAGCCTTGTGGTCAGAACTGTCAGAACATTGCTTGATAACTGTAGAGAACGGTGTGACAGGACAAAGCATTCAAATACCAGTACGTGTTCGGCTAGTAGGACAGGCAGCTAAACAAGTATATAAAGGTAGGCAGTACCTTTGCTATACTTCACTAAGTACTACTCACCAGCATCTTGTGTATTTTTGGTTTCATTTCCAGCACTTGACAGTACAGGTTTCATAGACTTTGTGCTGATATTTTTACAACACTACTCATGGATTATTCCATCTTTGATGTGGGTATGCTTCACAGGAATTGTAGCCATCGCTGGTACGTTTGCTTCCGTATTTATTTTTGTATGGACCCACTTGGGCCCAAGATGTATTCTTTGTTACGGAAACGATTTAGTACAGTAGCTGGTAACATGAGTGAGATGACTGTAGAACTTTTCTGATTAGCACAGTTCATGTTTTTTCTTTTTTGTTTTCAGTGTATTGGTTTATTCGGCGAAATGTCTGGGCAAGAGAAGGCACATTCAATGAGAATCATGCCGATCGATCGTCTACGTCCACCACATCCGTATTCAGTCGTGCTTCTGTTTCCATGCAAAGCTCTCCAAGTAGGCCGTTTGATAAGCGCTAAATTTGAAAGAGAGGGACTCGCAAAAAGACTTGTGTACTTCTGGCGATGTAAAAAATAACTGCTTTTTGGTTGTTTTTTCGTAATACAACACTGAGATGGATTTGGCACATGGAATTACTTTTCACAGAATCTTCATTTCCAATTGATTTCTGTTGGATAACATCCATCGTGAGTTCAGGTTTCTTCCGTAGTTCGCCACTCGGAAAATCAACTCCGATTTTTGGAGAATCTACTTTCGCTAGCCAAAAGCAACAACAACGTCCTGTGGGAGCCATGGGAGACCCTTCGCTTTGGAGTGCTAGTGCAACTCTGAGAAAGTGAGCCTGCTTTGGAGGAGTGCTTGTGTAGTTTCTTAGCAAAGCCGGTTTGTCTCTAAGGCGATCGCGACGGTTACAGCAGAATTCGTCCTTTGATCGAGGACTAATCGATACATTCGCATATTTTATGGTGTCGTGAGGCCACTTTTGTGTTGTTATTTTCGGTGTTTATTATTTTTTGAATGCAGTTTTTAACCTCAGAGTTTACAGGTATCGTATTCTTGTTCTTTTTTAGTGTCAATGTTACTGAGCTTGTTGTTTTTTGTCACGCGTCTTATTACGACGTTAGCCCTCGGCTACCTTTCTACAGTTTGTACTGTTTTGTTGAATAAGTGAGTCTCGAAGTAAGCTTCATGTTGTTCGCCAATTGTTACATCATGTTATACCAATATTTGTCCAGGAAATAAAATATACCATGTAGAATAAACTGCATGGGAAAGAAACAAACAGCCAGCTCGCGCTCAAATGACGATACCGTTTCAAGTGGTCCCACCACGATTGGAGGCGTTGCCAAAGCCCGGCAATCGTCTATGATTTCAAATTGCTGTGTTGCAGATTTGTTTCCCAGTTGGCGATTTGAGATGTGGTTTTCTGCTTTTTTTTTTGCTTAACTCCGGTTTTAAGGCCTTAAATAATTGGAATTGGTGGTGTCTTTCGTCTGTATTGTGGTAATGTGAAGTATTGATGTTCTTCTCAAAGGTCGTTGAAGTCAGTACACTGGTGTTTTCGCTTCAACACTGTCCAACTGTTGATCGTTTATTCGTTACTCATAGAGAAAAGGGACCGTTAAAGACTTAGCGCAACATTTACGAAGGATTTACGTTGACTTATGCTTGCCCTCGTCCCAGGGGTTTAACGCCTCATCGTAGCTGAGAGGTGTTCTTGGGTGTTGGACTGCAATATACAGTGGGAGATTCATCCCCTGACAGGGTCTACCAAGCTAAGAAGGGCTCCGGCGTTTCCATCAGGAAGCCCAGCTAAGAGTAAACTAATGCCATCATCCACCACCGTCCTGGTATCAAAGTCGCTTGATGGCAAATCTCCCTAGTCCACAAGGGCTGCGGTTGCCTGTGGTAGTGAAGACCTGGGGCGGACTTTGGCCAAGCTGTCCTCGGATTTCAGGAAACCCAATGGCTTAACCAGCAAATCTCCGAAAAATGGAGATTATGCTGGGGCCCGCACAACCAGTGAGGATGGGCCATTCAAGTGTCAAGTGTATGCTTGCGGTACGTCTATCAAACTTATTTGAGAGGACAGCAGCACTGGCTCGATAATGAAGTCGAATGCATTGCGCATCCCTCAGAGGATTGGTCAATGCCGATTTTTTTTTATTTATTTGAGATATGTTGCAATTGTTGAAAGGAGTAGTTCAGCTGTGACTTAAAACCTCAAGATGACTCATCAGCTATTCATCGTTCTGTTCTGAGATGGTCGTACTGAGAAGCCTCTACATATCGCCTTTCTTCTTCTTTTCATTAGAGGGAATCTACTTATTGTGATTGCAGTATGGGCGAGGATGCCCAAGTCGAGGCTTCAGACGACGATCGTGCCCTCTCGCCAGTCGTTGATGAAACATTAAAGCACGAAGAATGGCAAGACCACTGGATTTGCTCTATTGACGGGGTAAAATCGTTCTTTGAAAAGAAAAATCCGTAGAGTTGTTGATTTTTCATTCGATGGAACTATTTTAAACCACTTTTTGGCGTTTTGCTTATTCAGTTCCTTTTCAGTCATACGCCGTTGGTAAGGAGAGGTCACATTCTGAACAAGAAGAGTTGGCACCATGTTCTGAGTGCGATTCGGTGCAGAAAATAGCAGTAGAGCATGTTATTTCCAAGGATTCTTTGCTTATGCTCACCGGTATGGTACTGGACGACAGTCAGCCTCTTATGAGGAAATCTAGATCAGTTCTCTGTGGGAATGAGTTCTCATCTATTATTCAACTTCCACAGTCGTTGGAGGTGCCTATGAAACAAGAACGTCTGTATATGAGTAGACCGAGAAGTGACCAAAGAGAACGGGCGAGGATAAGTCGTGGTTTGAGCCCTATTCAATTTAATGCTGATGCTCAAGTTCATGCGAGACTCACCTCTAGAACAACCCAGGTAAGATAAGTGGTGTTTTAATGTTTTGGGTTTCACAATTAACACGAAATGGCGTGAAAGCTTACTAATTGGCAGATGTAAACTTGGCAAGTATGGTATTGCTCTTTTATTGAACAGCATTTCATCTATCAACTATATTGTTTAACCCGTTGTTCAGATCTATGATCCTCTACGGCGAATTGTTAGCCAGGCTTCTCTTGCAAACAACGATAGATTCAGTTCAGAATTGCAAGCTCAAGGAGATAAACTAATGAATGGCCTGAGAGCTATTTTGAATGAGAAGCTTTCGAAAGGAAAACTCATTCGAGCTCAATCTTCCTCCGCACCGTCTACGGTAACCACGGTGAGGATTAATGTAGTTTCTCTATTTAAAACGAGTTTAAGTCACAATGTTAAGTTTTTATTTACTGCCTATTATTATTCTTCACGGCAAGGTATGATGTGGAATACAGCCACTACGATGCTGAGATACTTGCAAAACTTGGATTCCAACTTAGATTCTAAGAGAAAGGCAGGACAAGGGACTCAGTGGTGCAGTGTGTAACATGCGAGTCCCTGGAAAGTACTGGCGGTTTGATCTGACCTGAGATCCAAATTTTGCAAATATCTCAGCGTCGTAATAAAACTAATTTATTTTCACAGGCATTGTCTCGTGCTGGAAGTGAGAGCTCTGTGTCAACGGGTCGTGACATGTTGACCAGAGAGGTCAGAAGACTTGAGAACGCTTTTGCCGAAATCAACATAGGAGTCGGGACAGGTAGAACGCACGCAGGTGGAGACTCTTATCCTCCAGTGAAAGAAGATGAGATGACTGCTAGTACATTTAACATGCCGGATTTGTTAGTTCATGGTTTCTTTGCTTCCTTCTATTTTTTACGATTTGCTGCCAATGATGTTTTTGTTTGAGAATAACTAAACGCGATCTTATTCGAGCTGGTGTTAACTACCAGCATTGAAATAATCGAGAACTGAGGCGGTTTTTTCTTTTTCATATTCTTTTGTCTAAGGTGCCACCTTTTTGAAATGAATGCACTTTGGAACGTTTAGGATATCACAGGAGAGGCCTTGTAGTGGTTCGAGTGGCACATTAGCTGTCGAACAAGCTCGTCAAAGTTCTCGTGGATCCGTCCAAGTTCTTACCGAAAACGCCATTCGTGATGCTGAAGACAGTTCCAGAGTTCTAGGAAGGCTTGGAAGTGCACCTAACCAATTGTCTACTAAACTATTAAGAGAGCAGAGTACTAATACTAGTAAAGGTCTGTAATTTATTAAATCCTTGTTTATTAGCCTTTTGCTTTAGAAACCTTTTTATAACCCTTTAGTCTTTTGAAATAAACCCTTATTTATTGTCGAGTCAGATGTGAAAAAAAGAGCGCTGGATATCATATCATCGGACTTTTTAACCAGTATTCCATAGTGATGCCTTATTGAACTCTTTGCCATCGATTCTTTGAAAACAAACGTTTTTATTGGGAGATGGTTCTTTACCATCGTTTTTTCAGACCCAATTCGGCATCTTGTTATAACTCATCGTGTGAAACACGCAGATTGTTGCCTTGGACGAAATAGAATACATAGTGAACCGTTTGCGTCTGACTTGAAGCCTTCATATCATCAGTTCAGGCTGAGACCATCCGCTGATGATTACCAGCAAGTATTCGGTTCAGATCCCATCGCTTCTTCTAGCAAGCACTTCTATACGTCAGTTTGTATTGTTCTTAGGTTTTTACTTTAAACTATATTATCGAATATGTCGTAGATTACTGTTCAGACAAAGAACTGATGGTGAAGCTATGCGCCCCACTTTTAAAATATATGACTGGGAGAGTACTGATCGACGTGCTGAAAAGCCTTGTCGAAAAACTGGTGGAGGAAAGCGAGGTAGACCGATTGTAGCCGGAAGAACATTATATGGCCGAGGTAGAGTACATTTCCGACCACCAGTGGCACACCGTGATGAACCTTGTAAAAGAAAAGATGTAATTGTGAGTTACTTTTATTGAGTGTTGAATTTCAAACACTAGCAGTCTTTATTTTAGACAATTTCATCTGTGGAGAAAAATTCCCTTGTTCTTCAAGATGCGGCCACATCAACGGAAGGAGGACCTTTAGAAACTGATGTAGAGGTTGTAATTAGAAATGAACTTGCTCATGATGAACCAGAGTGTTCATTACCGGAACAACCGAAGCAAAAATCCGCTAGTCAGCAGAAAGTACCCTTTGTTGGGTCTGGGCTAAAGGTTGGAATGTGTTTTGATAACGGCCTTCGAGTTTGTTAGTTACTGTTACTGTTAGTCATGTTTTCTTTCTTTCAGTGTTCCAACACTTTCTCCTTGGTGGGTAATCAACAGCAGGTCATGAAGATTGTGAGTATTAGATTCCAAGAGTGGCTTCCGTTAGGTATGTTTTCTAACTACTGTTTTTGTGATACTTATAACAGAGTGGTTTAAAAAAGAAAGATAAAGCTCTCGGGGTTTATCAATCCCTGACAGATGCACTGTGTATTCGATTTCATCAAGTACCGTTGGAGGTGATTGAAGCACATCTGGCGTTTGCAATGACTCCCGGTGGCCTACCGATGTATCGAGCCTTCCAGGTTGGGTGTTGCTCTCCTCCCACACGAGTGGGGTATCAGTTTGTCGATCCCGGAGGGATGGAGTGCTCGGTGGGTCAGAGGAGCGACGATCGATCCCATGTGCGTCGCAGGCCACCTCTGAGCACTGCGCTACACCGCCATTAACAGTATTATAAGGCATCAATATCCTGCATACAGTTGCTCGTTTGATGATTGATAATTATTAACAGTGTCCGTCCTTCCATTTTTCATCAGTTGTTAGGTGAAGAATCTCTTAATACTTTCACAATGTCCAAGTTTAGCACGTGCTTAATCTCGATGGTACAATGGTTTTGATTTTGCTTACGGTAATTCCGGAGCGCAGATAACGTGGTAGTTAGTGGTGCTGTCGATCAAAAAGCAAAGGGCCCTAGTTCGATCACCGCTTGAACTCTCACTTTCAATTCACCTGTAGAAGCCTTAGCTGGGCTATGTCTAAGAATGCAAGGAGAATTGCCTTGGCCAACATTTTATGACATTCATAAAGAGTACGAAGCACTCAAGCACCAGCCAAAAGGTCGTGCAAATTTTTTCAAGACTTTTGTGGACGGTGAAGGGAAACGAATCAAATGCGAGAAGCGCTCTAGGTGGCGCATTAGATGTTAATGACGGGCCATGTAAACTATAAAATAGGTATGGTAATTCCATGGATCCCAGACCAATTTATACCATCTACGTTTGGTATCTGCTTTCCATACGCTGGTCCTGTCAACCAGTTTGCACTTTGTACGTTCCACGCATATTCATTGCATTTGCAAACTTATATGAGCAACGACAGAGCAGCAACATATCCTGTACTTTTAATTGCACTGTATTTCCAGTCCGAAGCATTATTTACGACTCACAATGCAAGGATTATGCTCAGGCTTTCCTCAGAGACCTTCGTCGCCAGAAGCGTTCTCATTTAGAGCAAATCCATATTTTGGAGAGGTTCCTTGTTAACCAGTGCTTGGCGCTTCATATTTATTCAGACCGTTTATTTCAGAGATCTCAACAGTTGTAATATCGACTCGGAAAGGCGTGAAATTTATGCTGATATTACTCGTCTCAAACAACAGTGGACACGAAAGCACGAGCGAGTTCTTAGATGTGTGCGTTATTCAATACTTTATTAGTTATTCGTATCTCTATCGAGTAAGACAAAGCATATTTCTGTATCTTGTAAGCTGTAAATTTCATTTTCAATATGTAAAAATATGGGATGCGTGCAGCGCGGTGGTCGAAGGTGCTCTGTAACACACGAGATCGGTCCCGCGCCCCAGACTCACCAAGCCTTTCATCCCTCCTGGGTCGTCAAATTGCTGCCAGACTTGTCTGGTAGGATAGCAACATTGGATCGACACATCGGTTGGCAACCGCGAGTCATTGTAAAGACCAGTTATTCGTCCAATCACCTCCAACGATGCTTAATGAAGTGGAATGCATAGCGCATCTCTCAGGAATTGATCAACGTCAAGAGCTTTATCCCTTTCCTTAATGCTCATTTTTAAGTTTTCATATTTCCAACTGCGTTTATATCGTCGTATTTTTCTTCTTTTCCAGCTAGGTGAACACATTTCAAAGGGTGGCGTTTATTCGAAGGTCCAGCAGCTGAGGACTATCTATGGAGCGTGTGCAGCTTAGCTTTCAAGCAACAATTTAATATGGATTGCAGATTATTGTGTATATAACTTGGGCTAGAATACTCCTAAGCACTTTGCGTGCACTTACAATTAACTGTTTATTCTAAGACTCTACCTCACTAATTCTTATGACGTTGTACATAAACTTCACGTACTTGTCACTTTATTCAAGTAACTACTCAAGTTTGCTATTTTATTCGTTGTATCCAGTTGGCTTAGCATCGAATGCAATTGGAACAGATGAATTAACAAACTATATTGTGATTATTTACCTCATTCATTGGGACAATATCGATTTTTCGTCGAGAATAAATGTGGACATAACTCATTTTTGAGCATTCAACGACTTACGTGTCGTGTCCTCTAACCAATGAACAGCGAAAATTCTAACAATTTTTACTTCGCAATTATAAACTTTTATGAGATGAAGAAGGTTCGTTTTAAAATGATTACGCAAGCTTAAGCATTATCGATGCGCTATAGGTTTGGTAGTCCCTTGTAGAGCATTTGGTCTGTATTGATCGAACATGGTCGGATGGGAGTCCTCAGACGTTCCGTTTCTTTTCGTCGACAGTTGCTTTTGATTTTTTACCCGGTGCTATCCTTCCCACTATGGGCTCTTTCATTCCGACTGTCTCATTTTGTGTTTTCACGATCGTTTCCTCTTTTTCAGGATCTTTTCGTCTTTCGCCTGGGCTCGTCCTTAGTTTTGCTTCTTTGGCTGCTTCCCTCACATCGTCCTTTCTCAGCTGCTGTTTTGTCTCTTTCTGTCTCTTTCTCTCTTTTCCTTTCTCTTTATTCAGTGATTTACTCTCTAGTGGTGGTAGATCTGTTCCGAGAAATCCTTTTAGGGCATTCTTTTGTCTCGATGAGGATCCCTCCTCAACTCCGTGCAACATTGAGAGCTTCTCTTGCATTTCTCTAAGAGTCTGCTCGGATGGAACGTTTACTTTCTCGGCGTCTGTACTGGTAGACGTGGCTCGTGATTGTAGTTTCTTCGTATTTGTATCGACTGATATCAGTTTGGAAAAATTACTTAGTTTCTAAAATAACATCGAATAGGTGTATTTTCTACTTTCGTAGTTTCCATTCATATCCAATGGGATAAGACTACCAATATGAACTTAGAAAACTACCTAGAACACAAGGAATTTATGTAACTTACACGCCTCCTTGACTTTACTGCAGGAGGAGAATTGACCTTTATGGGATCCCACTGGAAAAATTCCGTAGCGTTTTCCCATGCGTATGGACGTTTGACGTGTTGTTCCTGAAATACTTGAGATTAATACAGCTCTTAATCGAAAGGAAATCGATTTTGGCTCAGTTATAGATCAGTTGGATGGTCGATGACCCGTATCGATCTTCCCAACGGTTTAGTGCCTCATTATGGCTGGGAGGTGTTCCAGGGTGTCGGGGTGCGGTATACAGCAGGCGTTCATCCCCAACCAGCTGGGTCTCCTAAGCTGAGAAGGAGTCCGGTGTTTCCATCGGGAGGCCCCACTAAGAGTAACCCAATACCAGCATCCACCACCGTCCTCGTATCAAACTGGCATGGTGGCAAATCTCCCTTTGATCCACAAGGGTGCCGACGGTCTGTGGTGGTGTCGACGTGGGGCGGACTTTGGCTGGGCTGAGCTCAGGACTCCAGTGAACCACAATGGCTAAACCAGCAAAACTCCAAAAAGATGGAAATTATGCTGGGGTCCTCACAACCAGTGAAAACGGGTTATCTGAGTATCTACGTAAACAGATAAATATACATATGTTACAATGTTTAACGTTTTGTTTTCTGCCTTCTATAATTTTCATGGCAGGTTACTAAGCGAAATACAACCACAACGTTGCTGAGATATTTGCAAAACTCTGGACCGCAGGTGTCTATGGTGGGGAACGAACGCGCTATTATCCTTTCCGGGGAGTAACGCGTTCACCACCACACCATGCATGTCCTTTGTTTTGCACGTCTCTCAGCTGTTTCTATCGCTTTTTGCCACAGCAATCACCCGTCAACGGGGTTATACATATGTTATTTCTGCCGAATTAACAACTGAATTTATTAGCTTATTTGTTATGTACTACACTTAATATACATTCTGCTATGATGTGCTTACTATATATTTTACGGCCTCCGGTTTTTCCCAATCATATGGATCAGTCGCCTTTGCTCCCACACGTTTCATAACCGCTACTAAACCGTTATAGAACATCCTGGAAACGAATGAAGAACTCTTTAAGAAAAACGAGATGGAATAGAAGACAGATTGCTCTCTGTTAATGAAAAATCTCACGAGTAATTAGGCCGCTGGTAGTAGTCAAGAGTTCGAAGATATGGTATTATATCATGAAGTTCAACTGAAGTATGGATTTCTATTGGTTAAGGAAAATGATGACCTTTGTAACAGTACTGAACTCTTGGCTAGATTCGCTTTATGAAGGATGGATATGTGGTTTTCTGGATAAGGGTACTACCAGACTTTTTCTACAGATTCGATTCGTTCCATAACATCGTCTCCGATTCATTGATTGATTCACTTGCTTTTGGTTACTTGGAAGATCCATCTTCACTGCTAATGCGAGCCCCAGCATAATTTCAATCTTTTTAGAGTTTTGCTAGAGTCCCGAGGTCAACCTGGCCAAAGTCTGCCGTGTCTGTGGTGGAAACATGAAAGTGCTCTATTACGACTATTTCAGAATTCTAAGGAATACGAGCTCATCCGGTACTGTTTTTTGAAGAACTCTAGAACTAAGCTCGAACTCTTGACGACTCCTACCACCTCGGTGTACGAGGATGGCACCCCTCTTTTTATATGATCCGACATCACTTATAATGCAATTCCCAGCACTTCTTTCACTTGATTCGTTTCCTTGCATGTAGCATCCAAGAACGTTTCAGATTTACATCTAGATTCTACTGTCATTTTAGGATTTTCGTTTTTTTTATGAAGTCGTTTAGTGCCAGTAAAATTGATTCCATCTGGAATTCTGAGATAGCCGTGATAGCGCTTTCAGGTCTTCATCATATACATTCACTGGCCTGTAGATCTGGGCCGACTTCCCCGCATCACAGATAAGAGATTTAGTTGGCCCAGTGTGGGGATGAACCAGATCCTTGTACGTATTATTGACCCTGGCGGTAAGGTATTGAGACGATGGAAGTATTGAGGTTTGAGGACTTGTGACTACTAACCATCTAGTAGTTAAATAAGTAGGTACATCGGTGTTATCTTGATTGAACTGCATGCGTTCATCCTTCTAGCAATGTCACTAAGCTTAGGAGTTCGACGTTTTTATCAAGAAGTCGCTCGACTCAATCGCTTTTTGTGTCAGTCCAACGAGTGCAGCTCCCGTGACAGCTTTGTAGCGCAAGTTATACGAATGGTTGTCTTACTGTTGCTCACTCGAGTTACTCGATTGTTAATATGGTGAAAGCTGATATATAAAATGTAAAACAATATTTGACCTGGAAAGTTTAGCACGAGATCCTTGTCGCTAATGTTCATCTTCACCATTTCTACCTAAACTGTTATAGAATAACTGCCAATTTCCGTCGATACTGTTCGCTAGTGTGAATACCTTTTGCTTGTCTCTTATCGTTTGCCATGGAAGTCCACAGTGTAGTTCGATTAGGACGTAGTAAAGTGACCATAGGTCGTCTCGTCTACCCTAAATCGATTACTGGTCGTGAATAAGTACGTAGAGGGTGAAGTTCAGTTGTTCATACTTGTTCCTTCTTCTCATGCACATTCGGCGAACAATAGCGTAACGTGCCACGAAATTCGGCCGTGCCACGTGCTCGTCTGGGAACCCATTTTTCTTCCTTCTGAAGTGGCTTGACATACTTCTTGCCTGTAGATAACTGTGGGGCCTGTGTAGCGTGGTGCTCGCAGGAGCCCTGCAATACACAAAGGGTCCATCCCTGCACTCCAGGCTCACCAAGCCCTCTATCCCGCCGGGGTCGGCAAATTGATACCAGGCTTGTCTCGCAGAATAACAGCATTGGCTCGATACATCGGCAGGCCACTGGAAGTCATTGTACCGCCTAGATATGCCTTCAAACGCCTCCAACAATGCTTATTGAAATCGAATGCATGGTAAATCGCTCAGTGATAAATCAATGCCCAGAGCTTTATCTTTTATCCTTTATAGATAACTGTTCATATGTCAAATCACAACGAGATATTGAATTTTACTTTTCAGATTATTAAAATACTAAATGAATATCAGACAATAGTGTAAGTATAGAGGGATAAAGCTACCGGCGTTGATCAATCTCTGAGGAATGCGCAGTGCATTCGGCTCATAGGATCTCCAGACCAGTTTTCCTATCCTCCGAAGCAAGTCTGCTAACAACTTTCCGACTCTGGAGCGAAAGAAGAATTGGTGAACCTGGGGTATTGGGCTGAAACACCGAGCGGTATATTGTGTATTGTTGGGCATCTCTAACCACTGCGCTATACGATCCGCTCAGAAAACGCAACCGTCTACAAATTGCACGACATACCTGGACGGCGTACGATCTGGACAAGCCAAAATCCAGAATATGAACAATCCGCGCACGATCGTAATCTTCGCGATAGCCCATCACGAAATTGTTCGGTTTGATGTCACGATGCACAAAACCGTAATCATGGACAAGTTTCACGCTGAAGTAATACCGTGTTCAAGAATGTGACATAAACAGACTATATGTTGGATATTGACCGACAACAACACCTATATAGGCACTGAATACCGATTCTTGACCATGTGTGTGCACTCATGAACTCCTTTGGACAGTGCATCTACAATTCGAGATCTCTTACTAAATGTCACACGCCACAGCTCAATATGGTAAAAATCAATAAATCTTACTCTTAGTTCTTTAAGATTTTCTCCTAATAGCGTCATAATCATGTAACAAAATCGTCTCCGTTTTGCGGCATGAAATACCATAGGCACGTGCGGTTTTTCGCCGTCTGCCGTTATAGCTCGTATCACAGCCATCTGGAATTTTTTAAGGTGATGGCATGTAGTGTGGGTTTTCTGGCTAATACTCATAGTTAGCTCTAGTTAACCAATAACAGAGTGATTTCTATGTCCGAGTAATAAGCCGCATAGCGTTTGCCCTAGAGTGAAATTCTTTCGCATTGGTTACAATGCATTCCATTGCATTAAACATCGTAGACCTTCTCGAATGCATGTTTGGCCTGAACAGTGGCTAGGTGGAGCACACTGATATACCAAGTCAGTTCTGCTTTGTCCTCCCAGATAAAGGATAAAAAAGATAAAGCTGTTGGCGTTAATCAATCCCTTAGGGATGCACCATGCATTCGACTTTACTAAACATCGTTAGAGGCGATTGAATGCATATTTGGCCTTTACATTGATTCGTCGTGGCCTACAGATGTATCGAGCCAGTGCTGCTATCCTCCCAGACAAGTTTGGTATCAATTTTCCGACCCTGGAGGGATGGAAGGCTTGATGGGCCATGGGCGCGGAGATCGATCGCACGTCTGTGTTGCAGGGCGCCTCCGACCACTGTGCCACACGCGCCCTTGATGACGTCCCAGATAGGTTTGAAAAAATCTGCTCACCTGGAGTGATGGGATTCGTCAATGCTCGGCTGGGATTCTAACTAATGGCCATGTGCATCAAATGTCAAGTCTATCCACTGCGCTATAGGCAATCCGTTCTGAGTGGTTCACATCCAGAACTGCCTCTTTGTATGTCTTATCCAAAGAACAAAAATTCCTCTCACCTCCAGTTTAAGTGCCGATCCGCCTTCAATCTCAGTAGGCTCTGCTTTTAATGCCGCTATCTTTTTTGTGACTACGTTTTCAACCTTAAACAAACACTGTCATGCATCCGTAGTCTTGTTTCATATGGATGGCACGTGGTAAATGAGAATTACTACATACTTTATAAACTTGGCCAAATCCTCCCTCGTCGATTTTTTTGATTATTGTCCAGTTATCAAAGCTGAAATATGAGGACTATCTCAAAGTGTCTCACTCTGTTATGATTTATTGATCCTGTGAAGAACTATTCTAACGTTTAATGAAGGATCAAGCACTTTATTAGCACGGTTAAAAAGTAAAGGATAAAGCTCTCGGCGTTGATCAATCCCTGAGAGATGCGCCATGCATTCGACTTCATTGAGCATCGCTTAGAGGGTAACTGAATGCATATCTGGCCTTTACAATGACGCGCGGTGACCTATCGAGTGATCGAGCCAGTCCTGATATCCTCCGAGACAGGTATGGAACCTATTTGCCGAACCCGGAAGAATGAGAAGCTTGGTGAGCTTGGGGCACGAGATCGACCCTTTGTGTATTGCAGGGCTCCTGCGAGCACCAGGCTACACAGGCCCCACAGTCATGTACGGGCAATCAGTAATCAGCACGTACAACAGCCGGAATAGACAGTTCATACCGTTGAAATCGTTGAATCCTGTGTTTTTTGAAATGTATGGTAAATACATTTTAAAAGCGAAATACGGACTGACTGGTCGTACAAAAAGAAGAGCTAATGACAAGAAAAGAAAAGAATAGAAAAGAATGAAATGGGTTCCAGGAAGGCGCGAGCGTCTTCGCATAGGGCCACCACCGACAGCATGGGAAGGGTGTTTGTGGTTCTCGTCAACCAAATACATTCGTAGGTGGGAGCGATTTTTGAATTGCGAAGTGATACATACAAATATCAGTATGCTCAAAGCAGAATACAACAGTGGGTGACCATTAATATGAATGTGGACTCTACTAGACCTAGCACTACTCATTCAACCGAACTATCCAAGTATCCAGCCAAGCACTGCTAATCCTAACCATATTCATTTTTATGTAGTCTTCGTAAAAGAAAAATACCCGCGTGCTAGAATCACTCGTATTCACTCGTCAGAATTCAATGGAAAATAGTCATCGTAACAGGACTACTGAGTCTCTTTACTATGCGTATTTATATTACAAGACTGGCTGAGAAGAAAGTAGAACTAGAGCTTCAGTGGTGTAGTGGGTAACACGTTAGCGCCCGGAAAGGGTAGTCGCGGGTTCGGTCTGGCCTGGGGTCTAAGTTTTTCAAATATCTCGGCGTCGTTGAGGTTATATTTCATATAATACCCTGAAGTGAAAAATAGTGGGCTGTGGATAAAAGTTATGCATTACACGTATTTAGCTTATTTGGATAGCCTGTCTATTCTCGATCTGAGCTCATTTTTCATTTGGCTGGAACTTCGTTTCTGGCTGAGCATAATTTTTTTTCGAGACCGTATATGGCCATACCTGAGTATTTCTAGCTAGTTGATTTCCCTCATTGTGATTAAGCTTTTTCTAATACTTGATTGTACTTGTATATTTTGATGGCCCGTCCTCACTGGTTGTGCAGGCACCAGCATAATTTCCATTCTTCCGGAGTAATGCTAGTTTCGCCACTGTAGTTCCCAGGGGCCCCCAAGTAATCCAGGCCAAAGACTGCTACCAGATACTTGGCTATAATCTAGCTAAAATAAAACGTGCAGAAAACTGTCTAGAGCATGACTACTCACTTGAACCCTTCTAAGTGAACAACTACAACTTTTTCAATCGCGTAACTACTGGTCACTATATGTAGTACAAAGTTATTTGTTGCCTAACCAGATATGAAGTTACCCAATTCTATAGCCGTTTGATCAAACTGCGCATGAGGTACGAACCGTTTGCCTATCGAAAACCGTGCCGCCGCCGCCGCATTATCATCTACCATCTGACTGGCTTAGTGAGGAATCTCTATGCAAATAAAACAAACTTTCCCATATTGTTTACATTTATCCTTATCTATTTTTATCAAATTCATGCAAATAACAGTGAGAATATAATGTTTAACGTTTTGTTTTCTGCCTTCTATAATTTTTATGGCAGGTTACTAAGCGAAATACAACCACGACGTTGCTGAGATATTTGCAAAACTCTGAACCGCAGATGTCTATCAATCCCGCTGACGGGTGATTGCTGTGGCAAAGATCAATAGAAATAGCTGAGAGACGGGCAAAACGAAGGACCCGCATGGTGTGGTGGTGAACGCGTTACTCCCCGGAAAGGACAATAGCGCGTTCGTTCCCCACCATAGACACCTGCGGTCCAGAGTTTTGCAAATATCTCAGCAACGTAGTGAGAGTATACATTAATCTTGAATAGATTTGTCAATTCATTACAGTAACGAACAATCCAGCCTACCACAGGTCGGCGGGACACGGGGAAGCCGGACAATTCCAGTAAATGGGATAGGACTCTCTTACTTTGATTTATTAAGGAATCCCTTGGAGTTTCTTCACAATCTTCCATGCCGAACGTGTTCGCATTCTTCGCTGGATAATTTTGTGAAGCACAACGGTTAAAGCGTTTGGCGTTGATCAATCCTTGAAATGCACTATGCGTTCAACTGCATTCATAGAATTGTAGAGGTAGTCAAATGCATATTTGGATCGTAGAATTGTTTTTCTGTGGACTGTCGACTTTTCAAGTCACTATTTTTATCGTCCCAGCCAAGTCTAGAACCACGGAGAGATATGAGATTTGGTTAACCTGGAGTGCAGAAACGGACCAGCGACCCCGTGTGTACTTCAGGATATATCTTACCGCTGTGATATATGCGCACCACAATGTTACACCTGCTTACTGTCTTGCTTCAGCAATAATCTCCATTTTTTCGGAGTTTTGCCGGTTTAGCCATTGTGTTCTCTGGAGCCCAAGGTTAGCCAGGCCAAAGCCTGCCTTAGGTGGTCACCACCACAGTCGCCACTCTTGTGGATCAGAGTGAAATTGGCCAACATGCGACTGTTTGATACTAGCATAACAGATCTTAATATTAGTTTACTCTTAGTAGGGTTTCCTGTTGGAAACGCCGAACTCTTTCTTAGCTCAGGAAACTCTGCCAGTGGGATGAATCCCTCACTGTACATCGCGGTCCGGCACCCAAGAGCACCTCCAAGCCGCAACGAGCATATTGCCATAATGTTGTAATTTGGATAAAATCAGAATCAGCTAAAACTGTTAATCGTCTCGATTTATTTGCCAATACAACAGAAGTTGCTTGGTTCGATACTTGGATGGCTCATCTTCACTGGTTGCGCGGGCCCCAGCGTAATACCCATTCGTTTCTCTCTCGAGCAATCGTCGTCCATGGTGGCATCTGCGAGACTCATTCCGTGGTCCTGAAATCATTACTGTCTGCGGGTGATGATGGCTGATGTTAGTCACGAACACATCTACGAGATGGTTGACACTCGCCACAAACACGTCCGCCCATCGTTTGTGTGCTTTTCCAAGGGGACGCTCGCATTCTTTTGAAGTGCATGTGGGCGGCCCATCCGTATTTAGCTATCAACGAATATTCCCCTTGATCGCGAACATGAGATAGGTTTCGAAGTTCTGAGCTGTGCATTCCGGCTAAATGTTGCGAGTACTGGTTAAATTGAAAAATACATCGTTTAAGCATTATATGGTTGGTGTGCAATATTCGAGACGTGATTGAGGTATCATTCCACGTCTTTCCTACATGGCAGAGTGCTTGGTGGATTGTTGTATCGAAAAGGTGATCGCGGAGTTCTAAGTCCTTCAGTTGATCGGCGGATTCTTTGAGTGGCCCGAACGCCGCCCATCTGTCTAATTCCTCTTTCACGCTGTTCTCCATGTTCATTGAACGTCCATGGCACACGTAAGAAGTGGTTTCTGTAAGCAGAGAACTGTCCAGTTCGATTTGTTTACCTTCGCAGCATGGGTTCTTCATGAATTGGGTCTTCATCTTCTTTATGCGCAGTCCAATCTTTTCTCCCATTTCATAGGGTTCATTGAGCATGGTCTGTGCCTTGTACTCCTCGAAATGTGACGATATCATTCGCGAAACGAAGATTTGATAGAAACTATCCTTCAAAATGCATGCTCTTCTCTTCCCAATCGATTGACTTCATTATCCACTGAAGTGAGGCGATGAGTAGGTTTGGCGGTTTTGTGTCGCCTTGTCGAACAGCTTTTCCCATGGATATGTTGAGGGGCCGATGGAAAAGCTGTGTAGTTGTGCCGCAGTTCCAATAACAGTCTGCTAGTGTTCGTATGTAGGAAAGCTCCATTCCTTGATCCCCGATTGCTGATCGTATCGACGCTGTCAAACGCTTTGTCGTATCAATAAAGGTTAGGGCTAAGGGCTGATGGTACTCCCGACCGGCTTCTATGATCCGTGATACGGATCTATGACCCAGATCCAATACATAATCCAGGTACCATTGGGATGTCAAAGAGGTACCATTTTCTTTTCGTGAGAATATAATCGATCTCCACCTAAGTCGTGCCCTTAGGAGACTCCCATGTCCAGCGGTGATCGTCTGTACTCTCGAAAAATGAATTCCCATAGAAGAGACATGCTGCGAACAGAAGTTCCACAAAATGGCTTCCATTCTCATTTGCTTCTCTTATTCTGAATTTCTCTATCCTGTGTTCATTTTTGTTGGCCTTTCCTAATCTGGCGTTGAAGTCTCAAACAATTAATTTATAGTAACAGTTGATGATGACACTGACTTTCTTCTGACGCGCAAGCTGAAGATGAAGAATAGCCAAGCGCGGTGATATGATTGCATATGAGGTGATTTGATGGAAAATAAATGGTTGTACGACAAAGCCAACGTTCCCGACATTTCGTAACGGAAATTCCCCTTCCATGAATGGTAATGGTTTTGTCATCTAATTGGTGTATGCCCGTCTTCTTGGTTTTCGTCACTTATAGGGCGATCACACTGAACTTGATGCGATCGGCGGCCTCAAAAAGAGCGTAAAGGTCGGCGTGAGACTGTTTTGGTTTTGTAGGTCCACATCAAGAAGCATTCTTCATTACATATCGCGGACTTGCTCGTTTTGTCTGTTTCAAGTGACGTCCTGTGCAGTCCAAAATTTAAAACCCGATAACTGGTTCTCTCACGTTGTAGATGGTAGCGCTCAGTTTGCTTGGTACTACTGAGGCCGGAATTTTGCTGGCATAGCCACTGTGGTTTCCTGCAATCCGGAGTTCACTTAGACGAGGCCTTCCTCAGGTCGACATAATCCAAGATAATCACCCTCCCTGTGGACTACAGGAGGATTTTCCACCGTGCGATTAGTTTGATACCAGCACGCCGGTAAT